GAATTTTGTTCATCACAAAATGTCTTGTAATTCAAGTGATAAAACCCTAACTTCATCTCTTCGATTCTCCCTACTCAAAAATTATCTCAAGGAGTTATTGGACATTTTGGAAAGCTTGCAATGTGCTATACAACCCATATTTAAATTTATTTTGAATATTCCCCTTGGAACTATATGAAAAAGTGCCATGAAGTTGGGTCAAAATCCTGACCAAATTAGGGCAAAATTTCACTAAGTGTTTTGTTTCATGGCCATGTATTCTTAAAATTATAACTTGAGATCCAAGTACTTTTGGAAGGATTTGTGTGAAGAAAAGTTGTAGATTTCATGGAGATATACAACTTTCATGTTGGAAGTTTCTCTTGAATCAACTTGCATCATGGTGAAAAATTGGCTTACAGTTATGAAAAAATATGAAGTTTAAACACTTAGAAAAATTTCTGTTAGAAAACTTTGACTTTTCAAAATGAAATCTTGACTTTTTGATTTCTTGATGAATAAGTTTCATATTTTGACATGTTTTGATAAATTGTGATCTTTGACATTGAATTTTGATCAAAAGTCAAAGTTTGACTTTTCAGTGTACAATTGATTTTTTGATCAATTGACTGAAAATTCACTATCAATCCAATTGATCTTGAGCAATGTTTTAGGTCATGCCATTAGGTCAAAATGATGCAATTGAACTCTTGAAATCATGCTTCAAACTAATTGATCATTTGTTAGGTCAAAAATCAGAAATTGCCCTTTCTAAGTCAAAATCCTAATTTTGCCCATTTTGCCCTTTTGAAGATTTGATCAAATTTCTTGAGGAATTATGGTCCAAACTTGATCAAATGATACATATGAGTTTAAAATGTTGATGTGGATCAAAATTTATGAAGTTTGACTGTAAATTGGCCATAGTTGACTTTTTTCCCCAATACATTTGATTTTTAGGTCAACTACTCAATTGACTGAGCAAAAGTGTGATCCAAGGCTTGAAACTTGACATGAGTAATCTTGGGGGTCCATAATGGTTCATGAAAGTCATATGGGGCATTGGAAGTTCAAAAATTCTTGTGCAATCTCAAACCCTAATTTTGGTCATTAGTGCTTAAGGAGGTGTCTTGAGTTGATCAACCCTAGTGCAGTCTTGAGTCAAAGGAGATCTTGTGAGTAAATTCTTGATAAATGAGAGATAAAATTTTGGGGTACAACACATACCCTTTGCTGGATTCTGATTCTCATGGACTATGTCAACCCACAACTTCTTCACTTCCTTTCTTCCTTCATCGGCCTTGTTCTCTTCATCTAGGATTTCAAGCCCCTTTCTCTTTCCCTCAATCGTAATCGTCTCGCAGCTCTTGTTGTCCACATGTACGCTTTCTTCATCCCTGTTTGATTCAGTACTCCGGTGAAAGTCTGTAACAGCTTCCGGTGTCAAAAACGACGAAGGCACCTTTGGTGGCCACCCTCTCCTCTTCGACCCCATCCTTTCAACTTTTATATATTAGATTAATATTAATTAATTAATTAATTATTTATTTATTATTAATTAAAACCACTCATTCCCATAATTTAAGGATTTATTTATTATTTTATTTGTTTTATGTGGCTAACTTATTTATTTAATTCCTAAAGTTGTGGATTTGAAAAACCATCATTTCAATAATAACTAATTAATTAAATTATAAAATTAACTTATTTACATTAAAAATAATATGAAAAAAGGTTAAAAAAATTGTTCCGAATAAACTTAACCCACATATTTCAAGTAAAAAATGCCCACATATATTTTTAGATGAAATTTATGGGTCTTCTTTCTTTCTTCTTATTTTCTCTATTTTAAATTATCTATGTTGTTGCAATTTTATTGTGTTAATTTTTTTCAATATTACTGTAATTGCAAACGATATCTAAATTAATATATCTAAAAATATTCATAAATGATCTTTATAGTTCTTCTTTCTTCCTCATCATTTTATCTATTTAAATTAATTATTTTATTACAATGTTGTTGTATTAATTTTTCTTAAGTTGTTATTGTAACCGTAAGTAATATCTAAATAACAAAGTATGCAGCGGTATCTAAAAATATTCATAAATGGAGTGTGAATCTCATTATCATTATTGTGATTTGGCTTCATTTTTCTTATTTATTTATTTGTTTTAATTATATTGTCGAAAAAGTTGGTGTGAGAGTGGTGAATTAAAAGAAATGCATTCTTTTTTATTTTGTATGTTAATTTTTTATTATATTTTATAAATAATCAAGAATATTAAATTAATTAATATTAAAAATATATTTTCAAAATAAAATATAATATGTGCTATAGAACTTCACTTTACTAAAAAACACACTCTATTAATTATTAATTAGTGATAATGTAATTAAAAATAATTAATAAATATTAATTTAAAGTATAGCTAAAATTAAGAAATTAATTTATATAATTTTATTAAATAAAAAATCTAAAAATTAAGTAGATTACATATTACATCCACTACTAATTAAAACTAACAAATAAAAATCAAACACTAGAATTAACAATGATGGTGTTGGATGTAGTAATGGTTTTGGCATCCTTGAGATGGAGGATGACAAAACAGTGGATGCTACATGATCCTTACATGGAATGTGAGGGGCCTCAATAAAAAGGCAAGGCACATTGAGATTAAGGCCCATCTCAAGAGCTTACAAGTACCTTGCATTGCTTTATTAGAAACTAAAGTGAAATACAATAATGCTCCAAAAATAAGACAATTATTTGGACAGGATTGTGAGTGGTTAGATAACTATGCTAATCATCCAAATGGAGGATTTGGGTGATGTGGAAACACAAGGAGCTAAAGAATATGCAAGCTAGGGGTGACCAATATATTCACCGTGAAATGAACAATATGAATGGCCAAAGAATTTGTTGGATTACCTTTGTTTATGCGCACAATCAGCTTCATGAAAGAAAGAAGCTTTGGCAAGAGATAAAAGACTTGGTTGGGACTATTCATGACCAATGGATAGTGATTGGTGACTTCAATAATGTGCTCAATAGTTCAGATCGAATTGGTGGTAACCCAGTCCATGGTGCTGAGTTTGAAGACCTGGAATCTATGATGATGGAGGCTAGTCTCTTTGAACATGAGATTCGAGGTAATCATTTTACTTGGTCAAATAAACATGCCACTGGGCCTATTTACTCTAGGATTGAAAGAGCTGTCTGCAATAAAGCTTGGTTTGATACATACCCTGACTGTGAAATTGAGACTTTACATGCCTAATTTCTGATCACAGTCCTCTGAGAGTTAAAATTCATGGTCACCAAAGTAGATTGCATAACACTCAGGCTAGATTTATATTCATCAATAATGTTATTGATCAACCAGATTTCTTGAATATAGTGAAAACTAGTTGGGACAACAAGATTCAGGGCCAACCTTTGTATATTTTATGGCGCAAATTGAAGAGATTACAGCCTCTCTTGAGAGGCTTAAACAGAAAAGTCACACATGAGGTGAAAAGGCTGCAAGATTATAGAATGAATTTGGAATAGACTCAACAAAAGCTAGCAAATGATCCTTTTAACTCTGAACTGATACAGGAGGCAAAAATCTGGACTGATAAGATCATTTATGCCAATGAAGAGGAAGAAAAACTTTTAATGCAGAAAGCTAAGGCTAACTAGATTAAACTTGGGGATGTAAACAGTGCATATTTTCATGCTATTGTGAAAGGTAGGAAAAAACAGAATAATATTCATCAGCTGATTGACCAAAGTGGTGTAAGAGTTCACTAATCAAAAGGATATGGAGAAGGAAGCTCTCAGGTTTTATGAGAATCTGATTGGTTCATCTGCGGACAATCTTCTGCATGCGGACATTGGAATTCTTAGGAAAGGAAAACAATTGAAGGATGACGGTAAAACCAGCTTGATCAAGACCATCACAGAAAAGGAAATTTGGACTGCCCTGAAAAGTATTGGAGACACCAAAACTCTAGGCTTAGATGGATTTACTGCTAAATTCTTCAAGAGCACCTGGAGTATAGTGAAACAAGATGTGATCTCAACCATTCAGGATTTATATGAAAATCAGAAATTGTATGATGCAGTGAACTGTGCAGTTGTCACTTTAATTCCTAAGACCCTTGATGCTAACAGTATAAAGGAGCTTAGGCAAATAGCTTGCTGCACAACTATCTACAAGATTCTCTCTAAAGTTCTTACTACTAGGTTGAGCAATGTCAATAATGAAGTGATAGACTCTAGCCAGTCAGTTTTCCTTCTAGGCAGAGTGATACACGATAACATCCTTATGGCATATGAGTTATTGAGAGGATCAATCGCAAGCATATCTCTCCTAGATGTGCTATTCAAATGGACATCCAGAAGGCGTATGATACGGTAGAATAGACAGCTTTAGCAACCGTTATGCAAGAGATGAATTTCCCTGGTAAGTTCATTGCTTGGGTAATGGAATGTGTTTGTACGGCTTAATAAATGGCCAAGTTACTCAAAGCTAAAAGAGGTATCAGACAAGGAGATCCAATCTCCCCCTGCTTTTTGTATTGGTTATGGAATATTTGCACAGATGCTTGACTAAGCTTCAGCTGAACCCGAACTTTAATTATCATCCTCGATGCGAGAAACTCTTTATAACTAATATTAGCTTTGCAGATGACTTAATCATGTTCACTAGAGGAGATGCTCAGTCAGTCAGCATTATGATGAAAGTTTTCAAGGAGTTTTCACAAGCTACGGGGTTAAAAGCTCACCCTGTTAAATGTAAATTATATTTTGGGGGTGTCCACCATAGTGTGAAACAAGAATTTTGGCTGGAACTGGCTTTAAGGAAGGGGGGCTTCCCTTTAAATACTTAGGTGTCCCCTTGGCGAGTAGGAAACTTACAATTAACCAATGTCAGACTCTTATTGATAAAGTTACTGCTCGTGTCAAGCATTGGTAAGCGGCATTCTCAGCTATGCTGGAAGATGTCAGCTAATCAAAAGTGTCCTCTTTGCTATGTCCGCTTACTGGTTGCAGGTTCTTTCTCTCCCTAATCAGGTGATGAATCACATTGAGGCTATTTGTCGCAGTTTTTTGTGGAGTGGCTCTGATTGTAGCAGGAAAGCCCCGATTGCTTGGGAAACAATCTGCAAACCAAAAGTTGCAGGTGGCCTGAATGTAGTGAAGTTACAGCAATGGAACCAAGCTACACTGGGAAAGTTGCTTTGGAATATTCATATGAAAGCAGACAGGTTATGGATTAGATGGCTGGACACTTTGTATTTCAAAGGTTGTGACATCTTGGATTGGCAGGTTACAAACTCCAGCTCATGGATTCTCAAGAAGATTGTCAAACATAAGGATATGTTGAAAAACAAAGCATATTGGAAGGAAGCTGTCAATGCAGGGAAGTATAAAACTCGCATTATGTACAAGGCCATATGTGGTATTAGTGAGCACATGAATTGGTAAAGAATTCTGTTTGACAACTATGCGAGGCCTAAAGCGTGTTTCACCCTTTGGATGGCCTTGATGAAACGATTACCAACAAAAGAGAGATTGAGGAGATTTGGGATTATAGTGGATACAAAGTGTTACTATTTTATGAGGAGAGTTTGCAACACTTGTTCTTTTGTTGCAGATACACTAAAAAAATTTGGAATGACATTCTGATTTGGCTGAAGAAAGGCTTGCATGGAAATGGTGAAAATGGCACCTGCGGAAACAATTTATGAAATCTGGCATGAGAGGAATGACATCATTTTCAATGGTGGCAATATAGATCCTAAAATTATTGATAGAATATTTCGTTAGTTAAGAGTAGATATAGTTGTCTTAGTAAATTAAGTATACATGTTAGTGTGTATACTTAAGTTGTGGTAGTTTTTGCTTCCGAGATCTTCGGATCTGAGTGTAATATCTGTTTTTTTTGGTAATAAAGTAGTGCTTTCGTCCAAAAAAAAAACTACATTAAATAACAATTATTCATAGGCTTTTGTTTATAATTTGTCTAATTACAGGTCCTCTTTTTTATAATAGGTTCATTTTTTAGGAAGACCGGGAATCAGATGAAATCAGCTGAGATATATAATATTAATTATCTTTTCTAATTTTATTGGTATTATAATTTTGTCAGATCATTTTTTAAAAACTTTTATCATATATAAAATTTGTATTTTTCTATCTTAATTTCGTGACTCTATTTATTTTCTATTTTAATGATTAATTTGATGTCAAATATAACTCAACTATTTAATTATATATTTTATAAAATTTATTTTAAATTATTAAAAATACTATAAAAAATCAAAATAACTAAATTATATTCTAAGTTAGAGATGTAATTCATATAAAAATTATTTATATCAATATTTTTAAAACTATATTAATTATAATTGATATTTAAATAAAAATAATCGTGCATCGTACAAGTGTACGTTTAGTCTTATATATAAAAGTTATTAAGTTAGTGAAAAAATTTTGAAGCCAAAATGAAAGTTGAGTTAATAATTCTATTTATTATTTATTTATTTATCATTAATTAATAAAAAAATTCTCCACTAACTAGCCCAAAAATTATAATTATAATTATTTATTTTGGTTTTATTTTTAAATTTTAGAGTCAAAATGAGGGATAACTTAATAATTCCATTTACTATTTATTTATCTTATATATAGAATTTGTTAAACTAGTGAAAAAAATTTGGAGCCAAAATGAAAGTTAACTTAATAATTCGATTTACTATTTATTTATTATTAATTAATCAAAAATTTTCTCCACTAACTAGCCCAAAAATCAAAAGTTAACTTAATAATTCGATTTACTATTTATTTATTATTAATTAATCAAAAATTTTCTCCACTAACTAGCCCAAAAATTAAAATTATAATTAATTATTTTGGTTTTATTTTTAAACTTTAGAGTCAAAATGAGGGATAATTTAGTAATTTCATTTACTATTTATTTATTTTTCATAAATTAATAAAAAAAATTCTCCACTAACTATCCCAAATATATTAATTTTATTTATTTATTTTGGTTTTATTTTTTAATTATTTAGTAATTTTTTTCTTTAATAACTTCTTATATTTTTTTAATTTTATTTTTTTACTTTATTGAATAAAAGCTAATTTTTGTCAACTAACATTTTATATTCATTTTATTTTTACTAATTTTACTCCCATAACTTAATTTAAATTAAAAATAATAACTATCATATTAAATTATAATCTTATCCACTTTTCTACTAAATTTCCATTCAAACTTTCCATCACTCTCAATTATTTATTAATAATTAAATACGTATAAAAATATAATAATAAATTATTGCTAAAACAATTTATATCATTTATTTAACTGTTTTATTCAGATTCATTCTTCATTTTTTTTTATTATTATTGGAATTTGTCTTTTTTTTCTTCTTAATTTCTATTTTCTTCTATTTAAAATTTTATTATTTGCTAGAAAATACATTTAGAGTATTAAAATTTGACTTCTATAATGAACGAATAGCAATGAGAATAGATGATACAATCATGAGTAGCGTGGATAAGAATCGTGACAAATTTTTCTTCTTTTATGGATATGATAAAACCGATAAAATCTTCATCACGAGAGCAATTTTTATATTAATTAGATCAAATAGAAACATTATTTTGATTGGAGTTTAGAATGAAATATTACTTATTCTCGATGGTAGAATAGCTCATTTAAGTTATATTATCTGTATAATTTTTTTTGAGCAAATTCATTTTTCATTATTTTATTTCTTTTTATTATTATTGTGATTTGCCTTTATTCTTAAATTTCTATTTTCTTTGATTTTTAATTTTATTGCTTGCCAAAGCATACCTTTAAAGAACAAATAGTTAACTTCCCTAATAGATGAAGAACAAATAAACATATATGACACATTCATGTGTAGCGTGAATGAAAAATCTGTGAGGTTTTTCTTCCTATATGAGAATGGTGGAATCGATAAAACCTTTATCACAAGAGTAATTTCTATATGCATTAGATTAAATGAAAATATTATTTTGATTGTAATCCCAAGTGAAATATCACTATTACTTATTCCCGATAGTAAAACAACACATTTAAGATTTGACATATATATTATGTAATTTCTAGCAATAGTTATATATATATAATTTTGTTTTAAAATTAACTCTGGATTGGTTGGGTCAATATGTTAAACCTTATAAAAGAGTTATGACTTTAGAGGTTTATAACTATTTAATAGTTGCGTAAATTAGACTAGATGTTCAAATTAATAATCTCTCAAATTTTCTATTGCTTATCACATATAATATTGAGGTACGTAATTCTTAATCTATATTATGTAAATATGTTATAATTGATTATAATTTTTATATACTAATATGTTAAAATATAGTTAGTTTATTGTCACCTGTAATCCTTCACTTCATCAATATAGTAAATTAAAAATAAGGGAGTGTGTAATTTCTAGCTTAGAATTGGGTATTTTTTTTTTTTATGTGTTAAGTGGTTAAGTGTGGACAGTATCTAAAATTGGTCATAACATCAACAACAAGTAATTAACAACAATTGATGTCGCCTTAAGAAGTAGTTCATGGCCCTATTCTCCTTAATGATCGAGAAAGTGACCAAATTGTTTCCTTCAGAAAATACTAGTTAATTGTTTGGCCCTATCATGTTTGAACGATTAGAAATTTACTAAAGTCTATGATGAATTTTTACCACAATGACAATTTAATTATGAGACAAAAAAAAAAAAGACAAGACAAATAACTTTTGCAGAGTTTCTCTCTGCTCACAAACTGTGAAAACTTTGTTATTCACTTGCAACTGTAAATTCTGTGAATACAACTTGCTTACAAAAATAAGGGTTACTCCCTCTATTTATAACCGAGCTTACACCCAAAGTCCAAAGCCCAAAATATCTATTTTGTTACTAAATCAAATCTAATCTATTCTAGACTTAAATCAAATCTATTTAACTCTAAAACAAATCAAATCTTTTCGACACATAGTTTCGACACACTGGATTACAATTTAACACACCGCCTAATTTATTGTGTCTAAACTATCTATGTTCATCATGGCTCTTAGTCTTCTGAATACTTCGACTTGCACTCCCTTCGTCATGATGTCTGCAATCTGATTCTCAGTTCTGCAGTGTTCCAAATTCATCTTCCTATCTTCTACCTGCTCTCGAAGATAATGGAACCTCATTTCGATGTGCTTACTTCGACCATGTGTTATTGGATTCTTCGCCAGATTGATAGATGACATGTTGTCGATCTTCATGGTAATTGCTCCATGATCTTTCCCTGTTATCTCTTCGACCAAGTTCACCATCCGAGTTGCTTGACATGCACAAAGAGAAGCAGCTATGTATTCTGCTTCGCATGATGATAATGCCACTACTGGTTCCTTTCTTGAATTCCAAGCAACTGGTGCACCACCTAGCATAAACACATATCCTGCTGTTGACTTTCGATCTTCAACATCACTACACCAACTCGAATCAGTGTATCCCACTAACTTGCATTCTTTTCCTTTATCAGCTACAGGAAACAAAATGCCATAATCGAAAGTTCCTTTGAGATACCTTAGTATCCTCTTCACTGCTGCTAGATGTGATACCTTTGGTTTCTGCATGAATCTACTTATCATACCTACACTGTATGCTAAGTCAGGCCTTGTATGACAAAGGTATCTCAATGATCCAATACATCTTCTGTATTGGGTTGGATCAACATCATCTTCATCTGCATCTTTTGACAGTTGCAGTCTTGGTTCTGCAGGTGTCGAAGTTGGGTTGCATTCTTCCATCTCAAATCTCTTGAGAATTTCTCCTGCATATCTTCTTTGATGCATCATCAAACCTCTACTGCTCTTGTAGAATTCGATTCCAAGGAAATATGAAATCTCACCCAAATCAGACATTTCGAATTCCTTGCTGAGATCACCTTTGAAGTCTTCGATCTCACTCTTGCAGCTACCTGTTATCAACAAATCATCTATATAGAGACATAGTATAAGCAATTCACTATTGCTTCTTCTTACATATACTCCATGTTCAGTTGTACACTTTACAAATTCCTTCTCCCTTATTGTTGTACCCCAAAATTTTCCCTCTCATTTATCAAAACTTTTTTCACAAGATCTCTTTGACTCAAGACTGGATTAGGGTTTGGTCAGCTCAAGACATCTCATCTTGCACTGATAACCCAAAATTAGGGTTTGTGTTTGCACAAGGATTTTTGGACTATCATTGTTTCATATGACTTTCAAACATCATTATGGACCCCTAAGATCACTCATGACAAGTTTCAAGACTTGAACCATATTTCTGATCAGTCAATTGAACAGTTGACCTAAAAATCAGCTATATTGGAGAAAAAGTCAACCATGGCCAATTTACAATCAAACTTCATAATTTTTGATCCACATCAACATTTTAAACTTATATGTATCATTTGAT